TGGAGCTCAGCAATTCAAAGCTGAACAGAAAGTTCCATTGCATTACTTAGGAATTGCTTGTGTGACAATTGCAAAGACATTAGGCTGGGCCTTTGCACATTCTATATGTCAGCATTTCTCAGGCTTGCATCATGGAACAGAAACTCCACGAAAGGCTGTGAGAAATATTTTCAAGGTCATGAGAAATGCCACATGTTCATTTCATCTTGGAAGCTTTCAAATTGTAACATGCAAAGGCAAATTCAGTAAAGAAGTCTGTTTAAATTTTTTAAAGATCTATTTATTTTATTGGAAAGTTAGATATACAGAGAGAAAGAGAGTCAGAGAGGAAGATCTTTCATCCAATGACTCACTCCCCAAGTGGCCACAACAGCCAGAGTGTAGCCAATCCAAAGCCAGGGGTGTCCTCTGAGTCTCCCACACGAGTGCAGGGTCCCCAGGCCACAAGCAGGGAGCTGGATGGGAAACAGGCTGCTGGGATTAGAACCAGTGCTCATATGGGATCCTGGTTCACTCAGGGCAAGGATTTTAGCCACTGGGCCACCACGCTTGGCCCAGGAATGTGTTCAATTTTTTAGAGCTTAATATTACAGAAAGTATTTTCTTAAGGAAAAGATTTGTTTGGTAAAAGAACCTGGTTTTGTTTGGTAGAAGACACTTTGGGAACTGGCCCCTAGACCTTACTGCAATTTTCCAAAGACGAACTAGAATACCAAGTTTATTTTCATGGCTCACTCACCTCTAAGGGAGAGTGGGATAGGAAGAAAAAGATAAATTATGAATACAAGAGATGCAGACCAGTCTATAAAATTCATTGTGGAATATAAAACTAGCTAATGCATTGTCTACTGCCTGGAGTGGTTTAACATTTGGTGTGACCTTTGTCATGCCAACTCATATTGGCCATGCAAACCCTGGTGTTGAGAAAGATTCTGAGACTGTATACAGTCTCTGAGGAAAGAGACCAACAGGAGGCCTCAGAGCAGCTTCTGCTCTAGCTTCTGTGATCCTTGACCCTGTGGTGCCCTGAGTGTTAAGTGTGCAACAACAATAACCTGACTTGTATCTCTGAGATAGAAGGGACTCCTTGCTCCTGCAGCATGACTGAGAAACAAAGAGGGTGTTGTAAAGGCTCTAGCATAGTGCTTAACTACTGGGGCCTGTGAGTACAGGATGTCAAACTAGATACCTGCCTTGGTATCTGGCCAGTGGCCTCTTACCTCTGCCATCACAGATCTCTTGGCTAGCTCCATCTATTCCAGCTGAAGTTCCCACACATCTTTTGGTACCCATGGGCTTCTGTGGCCATTTGTCACCATAACCCATTTTTTACACATTATAAAAATGTTGATATCTGGAGTACACATACCCAGGTCCGCTGCCTCCACCAACCCCACAGTAAGTCTGTGTACCTCCCAGGAGTTTCTTTCCCCATTGTAAGATGCAGAGAGTGGAGCTGTAATGGTGCTCAGAGCTGCGGGCGCACTCAGAGGGGAAGGCAGAAGAGTGCTAGAGCAGAAGGAGGTATTCATTTGTGGACTAAGAGCCTTGACAAAGTCTCTTACATGGCTCTCTCATTCTCTCTAATTTTTCAGTTTTTGCCAAAGCCCCAAATGGAGACAATTTAAAGTTGAAGGGTTAGTGATCACCAATTCTTCGCTCATGTTTTTCTGTTATTTCCTGACCATACCTGATGCTGAACACAACACCCATAACCACATCTTCCACATGACCACTGCCCTAAATTAGCCACCACCTCGAGTATTTGGCTGTTTGCTCAAACACAGTCATCTTTAATGCAAAAAAACTAAAACCATCGATTTGCCACAGCTTAATACCAAACTGCATGCAAAGTAGGAGCATAAAAAATAAGTCTCATGATAACAAGAAGGCAGGCAGACTCATGCCATCACAGGGGGTGTTTTATCCCAGACATCGGATCTCTCAGTAACCACATAATGCTGTGTAATTCTCACCCAGAAAAAGGTGTGCAGGAGCCAGTAATAACTCAGGGTATTTTATCACCATGTGTCCTCAAGCAAGGCATTGGATGGGAAAAACACTCTTGAAACAAAATTAAATAGTTTTAGATCTAATTTTACCAGGCTGAACGAGGCTGCAGATTGATTTTCATGGAATCTAATAGAGAACGGCACGACGCTGCCTATCTCACAGAAAATCCATCTCCCACATTGTGCTTTTCACTTACTCTGCTGTTCACAAGAAGTAATAAGAAACTAATATTTTACCACACAAGGCGTTTCGCTCTGTAAACGACCTTTCATTGGAAAGGCTGTTGTGGATGCTGAAATCCAGGCTCTGCGGTTTGTCAACTCAAATGCCTGCTTGGGTGTTCCTGTAAAACAGCAGCGGAGATGCCCTCCTGTTCCTCCTGTTAAGACACAGAAGCTGTAGCCTAGGGAGGCGTGGGGCGGGGGAAGAGCACAAGCCTATGCTGAAGTTGGTGTAGCGATTCCTATTCTGCTATGCCCACTGCAGGCACAGTCTTCGGAGTGGATCCTTTGCTGAGCTCCAGCTGCAGCCAGGCTTTGGAACATAATGAGCCTGGTTACTGAGGGTTTTCCCAGCCCGCCCCTCCTCTGCACCCATGTCTGGAAGGCTTCAGGCATCCTTCTCCACTCACTACACTCTTGAGGACTGCCACCACTCTGATTCGCTTTCCTTCTGTCTTTTCAATTATCACTTACAGACTTGATTAGGAAACATGGGTGTGTCTTGTCTAGTGAGTCCTTCCCCAGTCTTCCCATCATGAGCAGGTGCACCTGCAGAGGAAATTTCTTATTCATAAATCCGTCTTAAGGCATGACTGTGCACATAAGGATTCCTGGAAGACTATTTGCTAACACTCCTTCTATTGTAATTGAGCACTTGTTAACAGCCTCCCAGGGAGCAAGAGATGGAGACTCCAAACAGCAACTTTGGAGCTCCCTGCTAATTGAAGTTCCATGACAAACAAATTGCCAAATTGTGACACAAACTAGTGACAGACAAAATATAAGATCTTGTTTATCAAAATTCTATTTAAATCTCCATTTGTCAGAATCCCTTCTGATCCATCTGATTGGAAGGAGATTTTGAGAGAAGAAAGATCTGATGAGGAGTTTTCCCTGGGTATTTCTGAGTTACAACCAACATCTCATTGAAGTCTTAGGAAAATGGAACAGGTGGGAGTAGGGGAATTGGGACACTGTGTTACAACAATATGATTTCTCCAGTTGATCTTGGCAGACCATGTGTAGCAGGTGAGGGCATTTCGTTGGTATTCAGCGATAGACACCTAACTCAGGCAAAAGGGACAACCTGAAACTAATGACTTAAAGTCCTCTTAATTTAATGTTTACTCATTTGAATCTCACATTATCCTTACGTACATTCATGGTGTGTTTTTTCTGGTCATGCTGGATGCCAAAACCTGTGCTAGGTTCTGAGGAGTATTTTTCAGAAAGAATATTTATGTTTGGTGATCATGAAAGCTTATACAAAGGCTCTATGGGGTTCTCCAGCAATCAAGTCCCCCCAGTAAGTCTCAACAGACAGAATGACTTATTTGCATGTAGCAATACCCTTGCAGGCTGAGCTCACTCTCCTTTGAGGGAAAGATAGGAAAGAGTGAACTATACAGAGTGTAGAAGCACCACTGTGGTGCTCCTATTCTCGTTTATAAATTGGAAACATAAAACTAAGCACCTGGTGGAGTTGAGACTTCAGTGTTGGTCTTCATCAAGCCAACTCCCACTGTTATGGGATCCTCATGTTAAGCAGGATTCTGAGATTGCATCTAGGTATTGCAGAGAGCTCAAGTACCTGTTCTTGGTGTCATTCAGAACAATGAGGACAGGTTTGGGGGAATCTGGGGGCTAGCAAAGGGGGCTACAGGAAGCGAGTGCTGGTTTACATAGACAGATCACAGGAGAGCTGTAGGTCTGCTGTGTCAGGTACCGTACTTGTAACCCTTCTGTCTTTCTCATGGTGGTCCCTGAGGTCCACAGGGGTAAGATTAGTTCTAGCCTGACCAGGCTTCCCTGTTCTGGAAAAGAAGTTGAGATAAGAAACAAAAGCAATATGTGCCTAAGGATGGGAAAAGCAGGGAACTTCATGGCTTTTCATTTAAGAAAACTGTTCATTATGTTATTTGGTATGCACAGAAAGAAAAGCTCTTCTCATATGTGAACTTGGCCTTTCTGGCAAACTTAAGCTTTCTGATGTGCAGCACACACATCAATACAGAATTAAATGTAGGATTTATTAGAGGAGCACAGGAAAGTACCAAAGTCTCTGCTGTGTCCGTCACAACACCTGAAGTTCTGCCATTAGAACTTTGTGTATGCTAATTGAGGGTTCCTTATTCTATTTGGAATATCTCAGGGTAAGAAGTAGCAAACTACTGTGTTTTGCAGTTGCCGTGTCTATGTGCCAGAACTAGCAACTGAAACCTTTAGGAAAAGCATGAAGAACACAGGATTGGCGCATTCATGGAGGGGAGTCCTCATCTGAACAACAGGGGAGGAAGTGATAAGAGCACCACCTGGAAGAGAAGCAGCACCAGAGGGCAGGAGAGAGTAGCAGGGACCAATTAAACAATTCGATTCCTTCACTTCCTTTCAGCAATTGAAATTTTGGATGTCTTGAGCAACATGCATTTCTCTTAAAAATATTTCTGAGCATCTGTTCCATATCATAAAGTGTCTGGACACTGCAAATACAGCAGCAATAACCAAGTAGTCTGCCCCAACGAAGTCTGCATTCCAGTGAGGAGAGATGGACGTATAGCATGCAAGTGCAATATATGTGTAGTAATGAGGATGATGGCAAAGGCTGTGGAGGAAAAAAAAAAAGCAAGAACAGGAAACTCTGGGTTGTAATCTTAGTTCCTACAGCATGTAAAGTGCCTGATTCACTGTTCAATAAGCAAATGCTAGAATGAATGAATGAGTTAAAATACTCTTGCCTCTTGGAGATAGACTTAAAGAAGTATAGGCATGGCAGGTAAGGCAGCAGAGGGCTGGAGAAAGCAACAAGCGACAACTGCACACCCTGTAGGGCTGTATGTGCATCCCTCAGGGTGCATCCAGCTCCGGTGGGTCATCACATATACAGGAACTACAGGGCAGCTGGGATCTTACAGTCCCGTACTAGGTAGCCTTACGAAGAATCATTCTTCAATGCTTACTTGACCTAAGGCAGGGCAATGTGATTAAACAGGCCAGTTAGGTAAGTCAAAATAATAAATGCTAATTTCATATGTTAGTGCAGAGCTCAATTTTAAAGGAAAATGATTAAATACACTTGAAAAAAAATCATCTGCTAACATGTTGACCTGTTTTCTGAACAATTATGTCGGTGAGTATTGTTCTATCTGCAGTTATTGTAGTATGTGATCTATGCAAGCAATATGAAATTAGCCAAATATGTTACAGAGCTGAAGAAGAATATGAACTTAGCACTGACAATCAGACCAACGACATTGAAGAACACCATGACCTACCAGGAGGTTTTATAGTATAACAGTTACAGTTTTAAAATGAGCCCAATTCAATATGTTAAATACAAATAATATTAGAAAAATTAATAAAAGCAGTGCTAGATCCAACTGAGATACTAGTGTCAAAAATATCTACAGAAAGCGTATTAAGTTGAAGAGTGAATGGTTGTATCCTTCGAAACGCAAAGGAACTTCAGAATGTTTGTGGAGATTCACATCGTCTTTCCATTTCATTTTCTATGAACTTTTTAAAGTAGCTTCATGCATTGAGACCAGTCAGACTTAGGCGTATAAAACTGATCACTACCCAGAGTGCTGAGTGCATGTTAGATTCCATATGTCATACTGTATTCCCCAGGCTAATTTTAATTAATCTGCACAACAACTTTACAATTCAGAAGAGAACAGTGAGGATGGTGATAGTGATGGGCAGTTTATAGATTTAGGGATCTTAGGAAAATGGAACAGGATCTTACAGTTTACACACAGATTGGAACCCAGAATCACTTAAACATGCCAGTAAAGCCTGCATATTCAGGCCCATCGAAAGCCTCAGAAGTTAAACACGTAAGAGAGATGCCTAAGTTCACTGATGGAAGATTTTTCTCTGTCTCTCCTCTCTATAGATCTGACTTTCCAATAAAAATAAGGAAATCTTTAAAAAATTTCAAGCCCAGGAGCCACACTCCAATGAGGAAACTTAACTTGCATTCAATAGAAAAAGATCCAATTAACATTCAAGAAAGGTTGAAAACAGTACTTCTGTGGGTTGCCATCTAAGACAGGAAGTAGCATGCTCTGAAAATTTACAAGGAAAACTGTTATATTTCTCATGATATCTGTGCCTCATTCATTCTAGGCCTTGGAGTACCTTTGCAGGCTTACAAGATAAAGATGTAGATCATAAGAATTTCTAGCTGCGAGCTGATTAACTTGAGCAGAATTCCTGACCAAAATCACAGTCTAGTCATCACTTACAGACTTGCAGAACCAAGTGAGCAATGAATAATCTTGATCTCAACTCCCCAATCCCTTACAATTTAATTTATTATTGGAGTCCTCAACCACCTGCTATCTCTGGCCAAGAGCTCCTTAAGCTCTAGCAAATGATTCTTCAAAGGAAATAGCAACTTACAGTGGCAGATACGGTGTTTTAATCCACTTCAGTTGCTGTAACAAAATACCCAAGATATGCTATTTTATAAAGGATAAAGATGCATTTAGCTCACAAGTCTGGAAACTGCGGCATCCAAGAGTGTGGTATTGGCACCTGTTCTGCCAGATTAGGATCTTTTATTGCAATTGGTTTTATTTGCCTGAAAGACAGAGTTACAGAGAGAAAGACAGAGGGAGAGAGAGCGTATGAGAAAGACAAAGAGATATGCCATCTGCTGATTCACTGTCAGAGGGCCACAGTGACCAGGGATAGGTAAGGACGAAGCCAAAAGACGCAGAACTCCTGTTTGAGTTGCCAGGTCTCAGGTACTTGGGCCATCTTCTGTGCTTTCCCCAGTCACGTTAATTGGGAGTTTATTCAGCAGTGAAGCAGGTAGGATTCAAATCAGCATTCTTGTGGGATGTTGGCCTTACAGATACAACCTGTAGCACTGAAACACTGACTCCAAGTGAGGATTATCTTGTTGCATCAGAGCAAAGCTGAGGGAATGACATGGCAAAAAAGAACAAGCATGCCAGAGATATCATTTTTGTAAGCCACTCTGTTGAGAACCCATCTATCCATTAACCCATGAGTGAACTGATTCATTCATGAAAACACAGCTCTTGGGACCTAAAACCTCCTGAAAATCTCACCTCCCAAATGCCAGTAGCATATGACTTTGAGAATTAAGTTTCCAACATGCAGAACTGGGAGGAGACGCAAGGAAGACCTATTCACACCACAGTATTTGGACACAATGAAGCTAGCAGGGCTAAAGTTGTTCTTTCTGGCTCATATGTTTTTCAGCTCACATTAACCTTGTTCCAGATCTAAACAAGAACCAAGAAACCAGAGCACAAAGTAGAACATCCTGGGCTGGGGGATTTCCTGTAGCACACATACAATTAGAATAAGCCACAGTTTCTGTGGACATGAGTGTCATAAATATGTGGTTGTGTATGTGTTTCAGTGTGTGAAGATTGGTGCGTACATGGAAACCCAGCTAAATAAAACAAAAATTTGTCTTTTTGCTAATTTGAGAGGACATTGCAGCTATGTTAAAAACGTTCATAGCAGTCTATGTAATTCAAGAAGGTGGCTGCTATAATCAACAGATCAGCAGTCAGCCACGCTCTTCTCAGGCTGTAGATTCAAGTGTTTGAAGGAAGTGTCACTCTGGAGACCCTCCACTTTGTCAGTCGCAATGGAAAGAAAATCATCTACGGGAGCTGCTTCCTGAGTCCCAACGATCTCATTCTCGTTGCAGCTAGGTTCTGGCAGCTCTCCTCACCATATCTTCTCTCATTGCCAAGGACCTATGCTGTTCCACGTAGACAAGGCAGTGCACAGTCACATCCAGTGGGGAGGGTCCCTAAAACAAACCCAAACCCCAAAGTATGACCTTTGTCCCAGCAATGCAGTGAGAGAACTTGCAGCATCATTCAATCCCTCAAACTTCACTGAGAATGCTGAGCTAAAATGCCAAAGATGATGTCACACAATTTCTATTTGTGGCCGTTCTCAAACAGAGCTTAAAACGAGGAGGGCATTTAGAACTTTGCAAAGCTACAGAATGTCTTGGCAGATGTTCAGAAGGCTGAGTCTCCCATGGTGCAGGGTAAACACACGCTTTTAGATGTTCTCCCAATTGAGAGAGACTTCCTTCCAAAAATTCACCTTCCCTTGTCAATCATGTGTCAGACCATCTGTATCTGTGCCCACCACTCATGTCTGGAAGAGCACATAGAATATTCTGGTGTGTACTTGGCTTGTGTTTAGGATTTTTCCATATTTCCAAAAGTGAACCAAGATTTGGTGCAATGTGACATTGACATCAAGCCCAGAAATTCTGCATAGATGGGTTTTGGGATGGCTCACAGCATTGCCATCACTTTATGATCAAAACCAACATGGGATGTTCCCAGAGTTAATAGGAATGCTTTAGGATGAGTGTACCCGGGAGGAGAACAAAATAGTTTAGAAATTAAACTAAGAGAAAGGGACAACAGCCTTAAAACAGCTGTAAATTCTACCACACAATTCACTGATAGCCACAAAGCCATTTGTATTACAGGTCATAGTTTTACCTGCACAACTACAAGTTGCTCTTATCACTACCAGAGGCTTACAACAACTTTCACACAAGGCTCACTAGCTCTGAATTTGGGAAATTTTCTTCTTCTTTTTTTTAAAGATTTATTTATTTTTTTATTGGAAAGGCAGATATACAGAGGGGAGGACAGACAAAGAGTAAGATCTTCCATCCGATGGTTCACTCCCCCAAGTGACTGCAATGGCTGGAGCTGAATCAATCTGAAGCCAGGAGGTTTTCCAGGTCTCCCAGGTGGGTGCAGGGTCCCAAGGCTTTGGACCATCCTTCAACTGCTTTCCCAGGTTGTAGGCAGGGAGCTGGATGGGAAGCAGGGATGCCAGGATTAGAACCAGCTACCATATGGGATCCCCGTGAGTGCAAGGTGAGAACTTTAACCACTACACTATCATGCCAGGCCCGAATTTGGAAAAATTAGGAAGTAATTTACTTGCTTATTTCCTAATTTCCCGTGAGTCACTGAAAGAAAAATCCTCAGCGCCTGCACAACAAGGCAGACAGGGAAAGTACTGGGGAAGCCCAGGACTGTGAGGACAGCATGCTCAAAGGTGAAGGTGCCAAGACAAAATCAATTGGCATGAGGAGCCTCACTCGTAAAACGAGTGCCTCTGGTCCACTGAGTTTCCATCCCTTGGAGGATAAACCTGAAGCCATGACTGGATGGTTGCCTTTGCTGTTGCAGCTTGCTTTTCATTTAGTTGTGCTGTGCGTCATGCTCTCTTTCTTATCCCTTAATAAATCTCAAGCACACTCCATAGCTTTCTCCTCATCTTTAGTTTATGAAACTCAATCCAATCCCAATTGAAATTTACACTCTCACACCTGATTGTAAGCCCTTCCAAGAAGGAAAGAAAGTTCTTTGTTTACTTGGCCAAGGTCTCAGTAACTCTGCCTGATGATAATTAACATATCACTCATATCCCCTTCTTCATAAGTGTCCGAATGTTTGAAGAAGTGTGTGTGTGTTGCTCTATCTGTTGCAGTATCTCCATATTTCTTCCCTCCCCTTCTACATTCCTACTGCTCTTCATTCATAAACCACAAGATTGATGGTTGCTCTTCTCTATCTGGCTCTCCAAGACCCAATTCAGTTGAAAATCCTGTATTACCACCTTAAGGTTCCATTTCAGTTGTGATAGGGAACTACCCACATAGAGTTACTCAGTTTTGCAAACTTAATTGTGAGTCTGCACACAACTCAGTTCTCACACAGGTTCCTCCTACTCAGAGTCCTC